AAATGAGGAAATCACATTTTTTGATTTTTCAAGAAGGTTAAGGCAGTGCTGGAAAACAATAATAGTGGCCACACAAAATACTGACACTTTGGGCCCAATTTGTACATTTCCACTGAGGGGTGTACTCACTTTTGTTGCCAGTGGTTTAGGCATTAATGTCTGTGTAGTGAGTTATTTTGAGAGGACAGTAAGTTTACAGTTTTATACAAGCTGTACACCGACTGCTTTACATTGTAGCAAAGTGTCATTTCTTCAGTGTTGTCCCATGAAGAGATATAATAGAATATTACTTTATATAACTTTTGTGACATACTGTAAATAAAGAATCGTTAGCTCATGTTTTCATGAGCTAAGCTCAAGCATAGACTCTTAATAGTGCAGCGGTTAAACCCTTTTTTTTTGCAGAATTCTGGAAACAAGTGGCACAAACAATCCAACACTAACCCAGAACCTGCAGCCAAAATAAAGACACAAAAGGCTGCATGAATGTGAGCTAGACTGGCAGAATAAAGCATCTTATGTGGAATTATCTCATGTAAAAAAGAAAAAATATATATTATGAACATGACTTTAAAAAACATTAGTATTTTAATCAATTAAAAAAACAATAAATAGATGTATTGTTCAAGATTATTAAGCTGTATATGAGTCCTTGTGAACTTCTTAATGGCAGTTTTGCTTTCAAGAGAAAAATATAGGAGTGAACCGAACGGGGGCAAAAAGGCTTTTAAATTTTCTACCTGGAATGAAGTGCAGAAGGACTTGGAAACTGACACATCCTGTATCTGTGGGGAATTTCAAGGCAATTATAAAAGACAGAGAAATAAGCTCAATTGGATCTTGTGACTACACTGTGTAATCATGTAATCCCACTCTTGTTTTTCTGCAGTGTGTGGAATTGTGACTGGATTTTATTTGTGTTTGGCGTGCTCGCTGTAATCCGTTTTGTGCTGCCGTCTTGGCCAGGTCACTCTTGGAAAAGAGAGTTTTGGTTTTTTTTACCTTCCTATAAAGGATGTTGATTAACTGATTGATTAATTGATCGATTGAGTGATCCAAAAAATGACTATTTGCTGATTTTATTTTTTATTTTTTTTAAACTAATGAGACATTGTGCCACTCCAATGTGAGGAATGGTCTCTGCCAGATCACCGCTATAAAACTGTCTGGCTGTTTTATGATGTGTGGCAGTCAGTGTTATCAGACTTAATGATGCTGTTCTGTCATCAGTTGCACTAACAGTTCTGTTCTTCCTGTGATATTTCTAACAATCCCTGTGTTCCTAAACTGACACGATCTTTGACTCTTGCATTCTTTGCCTTCTCCACTTTTTGCTCTTATAGTCTCTTCCAGTGCATTTTTCTTTACCACCAACAAAAACCGCAACATGTCTTTTTATTGACTCTCGTACAGCCTGAACATGTCGGGTTTCTTTTAAAGAAGAAGTCTGTGTGAGAGTCATTAAAGAAGTCATTGTGGTTTCTCCTCTAGAGATGAATGCTGGTTCACTGTATGTTGATCAGTCTATAGAGGAAAAACCATAATGACTTTGTTTGTGACTCTCATACAGCATGTAGAGTTTTCCTCTAAAGATTAACATACAATGAACTGACATTGCTACTTCTTCTTTCATACTACCATTACACACGTTTATTTATTGTGTTTACACTGTTTCAAATTTGGCAGACTATCTCATTACACGCTGCACCCGACTGTCTCTTTTCCTGTCACAAACCTGACGTTACTGCCCTGATGAGTGACATTAACAGTTAGAGAGAAACTGACTTTAGGTTGTGAGTGTAGATTGTAAACAAACAAACAAAAAAAAGAGTATTGCTCAATGAATATAAGCTCAGATTGTCAAACCATTATTTCAGCATCATGAGTGCCATAACCAGTTTGCTGTAATAACTGTGCGGTCCTTGATCAATTGGCCCTGATAATATAAAGCCACAGGTTTTTTGTTTTTGACATTTAAGAAATCGAGCAGCATTTTCCTGTTACTCTGAATAAACCAAACACTACACTGTGAACATATAATGGAGCTACTTTCTTCCAAAGAGAAATTGTTGACAAGATGTTTTGTGAATTTTAGAAAAGTGAATAAAAACAAAACAGGCTATCTATTTAACTTTTTTATGAGGTAGGGGGGAAAAAACATACTAAAAGAAACTGAAGGACAGCGCTAGTTCTTTGTTCAACAAGCCTTCATTTGAATATTTTTTAGGCTCTGGAGGAGCTGATGACTGCTTGTCTGGACTGTTCTGGGGCAGTAATCTTCACGGGCACAGAAAGATCCTGGTGCTTGTCTGTGGTGAACAGCTGGACTTTCCCTGAGCAAAGCTTTGACACCTCTGCTCTGCTCTTACACAGAACCACAGAGTGTGGCTGGTGACCAACAGGAACCTCACTGCTGGTGTTTTTGAGCTGAGTCTCTGCACTCTGCACTGCAGGCAGATGTTTTACCTTTTCTGCTACAGGATCCTTACTTTTGACCTGCCTCTGGTGTCTTGGTGGTGAACAGCTGGAGCATGTCAGTGGAGGAAGTGAGCAGGGGCTTTTAATTGCAAAGCCCCTAACAGAAAGGTTCCTTTCTGTATACTGAGGGACTTCTACTGCTGCCTATAGAGATGAAAAGTGACATCTGCAGTACTGTATCACCCTCACCATCTGGGTTGTTTAAATGTGTTCTGTAGCCCTAAGAGGAGGGCAAGCTGTTCCTTACCTGCCTATATATGAGCTCAAAGTCTCCTGTGTTTGCAGTGTGGTCAACTCTCCAGTCCAGGACAACTTTTAATGTGTCCTCCTGCACAGCAGCACAGAGACGGGCAGTCACAGGGGTGGAGGGAGACATGTCGGGACTGGCATTGATTTCTAATAACCATGGATGTAGGTCATGGCCTGAGGAACAAACATAGCAAAAGGATGATTTTTCTGCTGTTGTCAAGGTAAAGGTACAAAGAAAATAGTGAAATCTAATCTAAATGGGAACTGAATGTTGTATATTCTATTACAAACATAATTTTGCATCTCAGAAAAAGGATTTTAAAACACAGGATACTGTGCGTTGAAACAGTTTGTGTACTATGTAATGAAGCGTGTCACAGACATTGAGCCCATCCTACCTAACAAGAAATCAGCACCATAGACCTCAAATGAGTTTTTGTGTGAGTCCATCAGATCCTGTGCAGTCTGCACTACGTGAATCACAGCTTTCTTCATTCCTTGGACTACCACAGTCTCCCACTGAGCTTCCTGGTTCTGGCTGGACAGAAAGGTCCTGAACTGCTCATCCGACCACATGTTGTGTGCTGGAATGTCTGGATGGCGCTGTTGGGAGGGCTTCAGGTGTTTTTGGATGGCATCATTGCACAAGTGCACTGAGCTGAAAGAATGGAAAGGAAAATGATGTGAAGTGCATGACTGTTAGTGGACAGTCTGTTAATCTGGTACAGTTGTCTGTCATATCTCATAGTCTCTAACATTTAGCTGGTAATGACACAGACATTTAAAGTTCTATACATTTTTTTAACAATTTTTTTTTTTTATTCAGCATTTTAAAAAGGTCAGGTTATACTGACAGGAAAACACACCTCACAACCCTCAAAATCTATTCCTGAGAAGTAGAATCTTAACCCTGATGGAATTTTCTTCTTCGCAGAATTTAATTTTGGCTGCCAGGTGTAATGCTGTCCCCAATTTTTTTAAATTTTAATTTAATTTTCATTGTGCATGTTACAATGATAATAAAGATCTATTCTATTCTATTCTATTCTATTCTATTCTATTCTATTCTATTCTATTCTATTCTATTCTAAATGTGTGTTTCAATTTGAAAAATCCAAACAAAACTGAACAAAACAAAATAAGAAGCTAGTCCCAACAATGCTAACTCCCTAAATTGCTGGTGCTTTTCCCTTTTGTATTTAGCACAGCAGGTTATGATAAACTGGACCGATCATTACCACAGTGGTAAATCTTTCACAGTCTTTGTCTACGATCTTCATATATCTGCAGACTAGTTAAAGCAACTTCATCCCTTTTGAACTCATGCAGTTTCCTATCCCTATTATTTCCTCTCATCCTTCTCCCACCCATTACCTCAAATTCTACCCTTGAAGTGTTTTTGAACAGAATCGTCACATTTGTTGTCTCACTAGAAGCACTTATACTAGGTGATGTTTCAGATGTTGCTTTAAGCTCGATTTGAAGTTTCTCAAAGACAGCAAATATGCACAGATTTAAATATCCCCTGAGGAGAAATCTGACCGTTATTCAGATCAGATGTAAAATCAGATCTCCCGCCAAATACGACATGCAAAATATTGTTGCCCTTTTTCCGACTTTCACTTCCCATTTTTCTATTTTGACGTTGATCTGGTTTCATGTCTGCCTCTGCTTTTCATTTTGCTCCCACATCTTCAGTAATACAACGATTGTACCTGTCCAGTATGTCCAGTGAGTAAGGCTGTGTGGAAAAGCGCATGTAGCACTTTTTATAGAACCACACAGTCAGAGGGTTCCAGTCGGTGACCAGAAACCACTGCCGCACATCAAACTTGGTGTCATGGACCAGCAAAGGACGCTCCAAGTACTTCTGTACCACCCACTGGTTTATGTTGAAAAGGGTCTGCTCATTGTCCACCAACCCAAGGATCCGATCTAGATGCTTGCTGCATTTGATATCTTGAAGGCAAGTGAGACAGGTCAACCAGGGCTTTGTCAGACATTATGCGAGGTGTCTGATTGCGTCAGACTTTTTACCTCTGCCTCTGGACTTTGCTCCAGGTTTGATGATCCAGATGTTGTCCATGCCGTCTATGTCGAGCTGTGGACTGACCTCCTCCAGCCTGTGCAGCATGGCCTTACAGGAGGTCACGAGATTATCCCTTTTCTCAATTTCTGCTCCACCGCTGAGTGAGGAAGCAGAAAGAGTGACATTGCAGTAAGACTCGCTGAGGAGCGCATTGGTTTGACACTGAAGAAACTTATGCACACTCACTGAACAACAAGGTAGTAATTGTCAATAAATTCTGTCCACTCCTCTTGTGTAAGTGTCTCAGAGTTCATGTCTATGTCTTTGTGCTCCAGACTGTCCAGTAACTGCTGGCACACTTTGAGGGCGCTGTTGATCATTTGGGAAAGGACCACTGGTCTACATCGCTGTTTGCTTTGTTTCTCCTGACCTCAATATGCAGAAAGAAAATTATCCTTTTTTTTTTTTTCCGTAACAGAGCTACAATGAGTAACCACACAGTCATGTGAGAAATAGTCGTACCCTTAATGGCCTGAATGCTAAGGCTTCTTCTCTCTCCCTGAAAATCCTGCTCCCTCTCCGCAATATACTTCAGAAGACTGGTGCATGCTGTCCTCCTGAAGTCCTCTTAAGAATAAAAGTACAAACATGCTGGTGAAACTTCAGAAAAATGTTGGTGTGGTCAAGTTTAAAGATGGTAAAGTCAGATCTAACCAATGAAATCTTGCTTCTCATGTGCTCCTAGTATGTAACAGCGGGGAAAGAAGGTGTCTGGGTCTGTTGAGTCAAACCAGTGCAGGTTCCTCAGGTTCATGCACAACCCAACCTGTCAAAGAAAAGAGAAGTAATGATGGTGATTGTGGTGGGGAAGCACTGAGAGGGCAGATTTTTAAGTAAGAAATCATTGCACCGAAATGTACCTTGGTAGTGAAGCACCTGGAATCTGCAAAATGATTGGTAATCTGTTCTTTGTGCAAGCTCTTAGTGTTGATTGCCTCTCTGCAGTAAGTCCAATAGAAATACACCATTTCATTCTTCACCTGGCGAGACTGTGGAATGACAAGGGAGAAGTGGATCTGGGGAGCTATTGAATTTTACACCTTAAATTTTTAACATCATCATCAAGGTTAGCAATGTATCATCTTGGCCTTAACTTGGCCCACAACCTTAAAAGTGTCTTTTACCATGAAACTGTGCTGTCTGTCAGGATCCTGTTCTTTCTCAGCATTGTCTGAGAAGAACAACCAAAGTCAATAAAATGATGATAGACAAATGTCCACAATCAGTAACAACAACTGAAAGACTTGTAGCTTACCACCATCATTGTCACTGGCACCATTTGAGCTGCCTCTGCTCTTGTGACAATGCTGTTGTGCTTGCTGGGTGGAGCGGTTGTTACGCAGCTCAACCCAACCCCGAGCCCTCAGCGCTGCCCTGACGACAGGGTTGGAGCCCTGGACAGAGAATATCTTGTGCATCTGAGAGGACAGAGAGCAGATGCACAAATGATGGATTCCTTCTTATAGCAAGCATCAAATGTATGTGACTCCTAATTATAAATGATTTGAATACATCCAAGAATGTTTTCTCACTTTGACAGCTTCATGTACAAAGGCCTTTGCTGCCCTCAGTTCTTGCTCCATTCTCTCCGTACTGACATCAGCCGTCATGTTCTGCAGAAACTCTTCTTTTGCTTTGCTTCACCGATTCGACACAAACTGCTGGAGAGGACACAATATAACATTTATGAGGTGTCAGGCATATGGCGTAATGACGTGCACAATCGTTGGTTTACAGATATAGTCATTAAAAGACTGTAAACATCTGTAGGTCTCATGCTCATGTTCAGTCAGTGCATAAGCATCACAGAGAGCACAAAAACGCAGTTGCATTCATGCACAACACAGCAGTAACTTCATCAGTTAGTCGGCTTATAAATTATACCCAACATGAAGACAGGATCAATGTTTTGGAGAGATTTTTCATTTTCACAGCAGCATCATTAATTAGTGTATGGATGCATTACAGAAAGTGACCTTTATAGTCATTGCAGTAACTACCATAATATGGCAAGAAGTAATCAAGTTATTAAGAAAACACATTTTATTGTAATATAATTGGCAGCAGTTAGATAAGTTATCACCACACATAGACAGAATATCCAGTGCTGAAATCATAGATAGATCAGATAGATAGATAGATAGATAGATAGATAGATAGATAGATAGATAGATAGATAGATAGAACTTTATTGATCCCTTTGGTCCTATATATATAATATACAGCATACAGCATCAGTTGTGGCTGTTGGACTGCCACTCCAACATTGTCAGTGCGCCACCATCAGGTTACCCAAAGAAAAAGTTTCTGGATCCCTGATTTTCCAAAACAAACCAACAAAACCTTAGCTTGCTACCAAAGTAGCAAACCACACAAAATGCTAACTCCCCTACTGGGATGTCATATCTTACACTATAAGCAAAACCCAATACAAACAGAGCTTTGACATTATAGTTAATAAGCATTAGTTGTTCTCACCTGTTGAGGTCCATAAATGTACTAACTTGTCTCTTGTACCTGTTTATTGTTGCCATGGCAACCTCAGATTGCCCCTAGGAGTGTTGCACATTCATATATTACAAAAAAGTATTTTTGTTTAAACTGATGTATAACTCTCCAAATATTTCTCTTTCTTTTGTATGTATATCTTTATAAGAAAATACAAGGGCTTATTTCGTACTGTCAGAATATTACATCAATATACTTTGAAATAAAACTATCTTACACACACAAAAAAAAAAAAAATACACACAATCCTGGCATTGATTGTTATAGTGTTTACAAACATTTTAATCACGTTACTCATTTAACTCAATATTAACTCAATATTGGCGTTTTTATGGAATACAAGATGTACATGTTTTTTTGTTGTTGTTGTTTTTTTAATTTTTTTTTCTATTTTTACTTTGTACTCCCATTCTGCAGTAAGCTACTTAAATCATTTTAAAACAGCCTTAATTGCACGTTGTGGTTTCGCTACTTGCGATATGCAAACACTGATGTCTTGCTTTAAACCGCAGACATCATATCGTGAGACGTTGGGGCAACATGTTCGGTTGCATTTTGAATAGTTCTGTTCTGCCGCCATTTTGGCTCACGGGGGGCGTGGTCGCGTTGATGTCACTGTACGTGTATCAGCGCCGGACGGCTCCTGCCCGGACAAATCCCGACTCTGGACCCAAACACACACACAGCTGCACACCAAGTCACACACTCGCAACACCGTAGACACAGGAACGGCAGTTTTGCGGTGTATACATTTAACAGTCACACCAGAGAACCGGTAAGTCGAGCACTGTCTCTAAATTGTATGTTTGCAGCCGGAGAAAAATAATATTTATGACGTTGAGGTGAGTCAAACTAGCATGCTAATAGTTCTTAGCTTAACTTTTTTCAGATTCCGTTTGGCCCGTTGAAATGTGCGGAAGAACTGCGTGCACTCTGGCTCCGGACGAGGTGAGTCGAGCCTCCTCGTACAGGAACCGAGGCGGGCAGCGGAGACAGCCCCGCTGGAGGGATGGAGACGCGGACAAATACCGACCCTCGTACAACAAGAGCCCCCAGTCCATGAGCCCGGTGCTGCTGTCCCAGAGGCACTTTGACAAGGTAGCTTCAGCCTGACAAGAGCTAGCATGCTAACACGCTGCACAAGTGTGTTTATTACCTTAACTTGTGTTGACAGCCAAACGCTCTCTGTCAAAAAGCAAGCTGAAGAGGTGTTTCCTTCCGCGTGTGTTAGGCGCAATAACCTGCAATGACAATGTGATTGATACTTACTTTTTTTCTACTTAGATAATGGAAACGGTGGCAGTAATGTTTGTGAATTCATTTTCTGTAAGCTTCAGTACTGACATATAATTAGGTGCAAGCAAAAAGAAATAGCAGACAACATTTCTGTCCTAACCACATGAAAATTGTGTAAGCCTTACAAATATGGTCTGTCCTGTTTGGCATTAAATAGCTGTTTACAGTGCAGGTGCTCATGATACCTTGTCCATTCCTCGTATGTGTCCTCAGGAAGCTCCTGTGGATGAGTGTGTGTTGGCCTCCATGCGTTGGGGTCTGGTACCTGCGTGGTTCAAGGAGAACGACCCAAGCAAGATGCAGTACAGCACCAGCAACTGCCGCAGCGAGAGTCTGCTGTCGAAGAAGTCCTACAAGGTGCATACTATTTTGTAAAGCTGTATTATCATTCCTGTGCTTTGTCTTGCTCTTTGTTGTGGCAGCTTCTTATCATTGTGTTATCTCCCCAAAGGATCCCCTGACAAAAGGACAGCGCTGTGTCATCTTGGCTGATGGTTTTTATGAGTGGCAGAAGGTGGAAAAAGACAAGCAGCCTTTCTTCATCTACTTCCCTCAGAGTGAGGGGCCCAGCCAGGGGAAAAAAGAGGATCAGGATGACCCCACGACCTCAGCTCGTAATAAGGAGAATTCAGAGGTAGCGTGCCCTCCAGGGGAAGCCTCCCCTGCTTTGACAGAGGTTTGCATTGAGTTTTCTGGAGCAATATGAGCACCTTGAATATTTCTTTCATCTAGAGCAAAAAACAGAGAGAATGCAGCTTTGGCGGAAATTACCATCTGAAAATTTCCTGTGTGGGAAAATAGCCACAGAAAAAAATGAGCATGTGTCCACCAGGTGTTTCTTTTGCATTCAGAAATTTATGGTAAATACAAACTCCTGCTTTAGGTTTGATGGTTGTGCCAGGGTAAAGATTGTAAAAAGTCACAACCATACCAACGAAGTCTATTTAAATACACTCATGTTCTGCTCTTCTGGTTAGGAAGTTGAAGCACCAGGTGAGTGGACTGGATGGAAGTTGCTGACCATGGCTGGAGTGTTCGACTGCTGGACGCCACCAGATGGTGGAGAACCCCTTTACTCATACAGTATAATCACAGTGAATGCTTCCCAAAATCTGCAAAGCATCCATCATAGGTAAGAATCACTTATAGGGACACATGCTGCTTCTTTGATTTGTCTGTACGAAATCAAAAACTCAAGTGTGTTCATGTTTTAGGATGCCAGCAATCCTGGATGGAGAAGATGAAGTGAGAAAATGGCTTGATTTTGGCGAGGTGAAGTCTCTGGATGCTCTGAAGCTGCTTCAGTCTAAAAACACTTTGACCTTTCACCCAGTGTCTTCGATAGTCAACAACTCACGCAACAACTCTCCAGAGTGTCTCCAGCCGGTGGATCCTAACAGCAAAAAGGTAGAGTTTAATGAGGTATTTACATATAGTAGATGGATGATTTAGCAAGAACAGAATTTTAAGCTGACAAACTTAACCCTTGACTTCTAGAAGCCCAAGCCAACAGCAAGCAGCAAGATGATGACGAGCTGGCTGTCGAGCAGCGCCCCATTGAAGAGGAAGGGGTCCGACACGCGTGAGAGTAAAGACAAGCAAGAAAATGATGCAGAGACTGAACCCAAGTCTACAGGAGCACTTCAGCAGTGGCTTCAGGGAGCCAAGAAGAAACCAAGAACCAAGTGAATGTATGAACTGAACCAAGGACACTGTAGGGTCCTTTATGTTTTCTTTTCTTTCTTTTTTTTTTTTTTTAAATTGTGCTTTACTGTTTTAACAGGTATGAGGATTTGTTTCTTGTACTAAAAGTAAATATTTTAAATGTAAGAAAAATATTCTGCACTGTT